TCTTGTTCTAGTTCTGGATTTGCATCCAGAGACCTCCCTATGCTAGAACCGCCCCATGATCTGGGGCTGGCTGAGGCTGAGAGCCTGCCAAGGTGCTTTTCTTGCTCTCTCCCCCTCTCTCTTTCCCTCATCCTTCATCTTCTCCCCACCTGTTGGTTCCTGCCTTTCCCCTTCCTTTCTTTCTGGTTTCAAAGAAAGGAAAAACCTTAAAAGAAAATGAAAGAATGGGGCCAGCAGGTGGCATGGAGGTTAAGGCACTAGATCCCACATGGTTGACTTCATGGTTTGAGTCCTAGACCTGGCACCTTAAGAATCACACCGGGCACATGTGCTTGTGTGTCCCAAATGCCAAGATGAAAGTGGAGGAGAAGGGACTGTGGCATAACCATCTCTCCTGGTGGGTGACTTCTCACTTTCCCTCTCTCTCTCTGGCAAGCCAACATGCCCTATAGCAAAAACTTTAAAAAGAAAGAGCAGAGAGCAAATTATAAGCCAAGATAATCCAGTTTAACCAGAATTCTACTTTAATCAAAAGTTACACCTAGACTGATTTGGTTATATTATGTCGCTTAGATAGTGATACATGGGAAGTGCATAGAGTTAGAATCATCTCGATATGGCTTCAGATTCCAGCTTTGCTGCTTAATGGTTGAGGAGGGAGGAGAAAATGATTTAACCTGGGACTTCATTTCTTCATCTGGTTATGTTTTAAAGCCCTGGTTTTAGGGTTTGTCTAAGAGTAGTGTTAGAATGAAAGAAACACTTGTTGTCTGTTATTGAAGTACTGTGAGATGTTCTATAACAAGGAAGTGCATTAAACTTTATTTAACCCAGAATTTCCCAAGCATTTTTCCTTGTAAAATCTATTAATATCTGGGGCCAGCAGGTAGTGTGGAGGTTATGGCCGGCTGTGCAGTTTGAGTCCCAGACCTGGAGGCTTGAAAATCACCCTGGGTTCATGTGCGTGCATGGCCAAAATCCTGAGAGGAGACTGGAGGAGAAGGGACTGTGATGTGGCCATGCCCCCACCCAACCTTCTGGGAGGGGGGGGGATCTCTCACCTTTTCTCTCTGTCTTTTTGGTGAGCACACATGCCCTTTAACAAAAACTAAAAACAAACAAACAAACAACACATGAACAAACAAAAACTAAAACTAAAAATAAAAAAATAAAACCCTATTAATATCTTGCCAAACTAGTGTTCCATAAGGGACCTGTGGGAAAGCCTGGCTTGCAGTAATGCCAGACATATTTTATATAAGAATCAGTTTACCGTCCCTTTTCCATTTTATTGTTGGCCAGTCAAAGTTCTTATGCTTGGATGCCTAACAGACAATCTGAAGTAGAACTCTCGTACTTATTCGCACCTTCACCCTTTCCATCCCAGCCCCTTCTGTAGTCTTATCAACCTTCAGTAATGGTTCTCGCTTCCATGTGGTAGGATCCTTTGGTTGCCTAGGATGGCCACGACAAAATACCTTAATCAGGATGACTTAAAACAGTGTAAATGGATTGTCTCACAGTTCTGGAGGCTAGAAGTCTGAAGCTGGTGTGTCCATGGAGCCATGCTTCCTCTGAAACCTGTGGCATAGAGTCCTTCCTGCCTCTTCTCACTTTGGTGTTTGCCAGCAATCCTTAGCACTCTGTGGCTTGTAGATGCATCACTGCGGTCTCGGCCTTGGTTGCCACATGGGCATACTTTTCTCTGCGTGTCTCTGTCCTTCATGGTGTTCTTTCTGTGTCTCTCTCCTCTTCTCATAAGGATACCAGTTGTATTGGACTAAAGCCCCATCCTTCTCTAGTATGACCTTACCCTGACTTGACTAATGACAGCTACAAAGACCCTGTTTCCTACTAGAAGTTAGGACTTCAATATATATTTTGGGGGGGATGCAGTTTAACTCCTAACAATTTATATAGTCACCTTAGGAAAAAACAGCTTCGGAGTCATTCCTGCATCTTATTTCCTCAGCCATTATATTCTATTTACATTTGTTAATAGTGGTTGTTCAAAATGCAGTTGGCCATTTCTTTTTTTTTTGGGAGAGGTTTTTGCTATAGGGCGCGTGCACTCGCCAGACAGAGAGAAAGAGACAGAGAGATAGAAAGCGAGAAATCACCCCCCGGGGGGGATGGCCATGCCGCAATCCCTTCTCCGCCATTCTCTTCTTGGGATCTTGGGCACACACGCACACGCGCCCGGTGTGAGTTTTAAGCCACCGGGTCCGGGACGCAAACCGCGGTTGACACCGTGGGAGTCCAGCGACATAGCCATTATGCTAACTGCTGGTCCCTGGTTGGCCATTTCTTATCTCCACCGCCTCTGTTATTCCTTCAGCTTCCTAATTGGTGCCCTGGTTCTCCTTAAGCACACTTGCTAAATAGCAACCAGAGTGATGATTTCAGTGTAATTCGGATGCTATTCCTCCCTCGTTTAAAACCCTCCAGTGGTCTGCCATTGTAGTTAGAAGGAAATGCTAACCCATATGAAGACAGCCAAGACTGTACATGTTCTGGCCCTGTCCGTCTCTCCAGTCTCACTGTGTGTCACTCTCTTCTATTCACTGTGCTTTCACCAACCAGTGGTAAGCACCCTTTTCCTAACTCAGGGCCTTTTTACTATTCCCTCAGTGCCTGCAAGTGTCTCATTCCCTAGTCTTCTCTACCCAGAGGTATGTTTCCTTTTTATTTATTTATTTATTTTTCAAGAGGTTTTTGCTATAGGGCACATGATGATGGAGAGAGACAGAGAGACGGAAAGCGAGCAATCACCCTGATCTTGGGTACGCATGTACACACGCCTGGTGTGAGTTTAAGCCACCGAATCCGGTACTCGAACCGCGGTCAACTACATGGGAGTTCAGTGACATAGCCATTATGCCAACTGCTGGTCCCAAAAATATAATTCTTACTGAATTTTCAGTAAGAAAATATAAACTTTTATTTATATCTTATTTAATTCACTTTTAACATTTCTTGAATTGCTCATGAATATTTCATGATACATGAGACATAGCTGGCTATCATCTTTTCTTAATTGCCATGGATTTTGGCATTTGCTAGAGAGAGACGAAGAGAGAAGGAGACAGTACCTTCCCCCTTTCCCACCCTACCCCTACCTACGGCTCTGGAGTGTGGTGGTCATGTTGCAGTTTCTTTTCTGTTTCTGTACCCTGTTGGGATTTGGGCCATTCATGTACATATGCCCAGCAAGTTCTTCAATCCAGGGGCTAGGGTTCAAACCACATGGCTGCCCATGCAGAATCTGGCCTCCTTAGCCACTAGACCATGTTATTATCTTGTTGGCAAATTAGACAAATATTAAAAATACTACAAAAGCCAAGAGACAAAAAGTTAAACATTGTTTTCGCTTCCTCTCTCTTTTCTCTCTGTCACTTTCCTCCATCTAGCAATTCCTTTTTATTGTACATTTTGCTCTTTGATTAGATTTACAGTTTTGTAATCTTAAATATCCAGTAGATATAACATAAACTAATAAACCAGGTAAAAAATACATGTCCGCACTATAGCTAATACTGATAATTCTGAAGACATTCTTGCTTTGTTTTACCAACAATCTTAAAACCAGGTTTATTTACCAAAGGTTATCCCTGATCACATGGACTTGAAAAGAATTTGGGTTATTTCCTATGTTTCTGAGAGTTTTAGGAATATAGTAGTCCTCCTGTGTGACTTCATTTGCTTTGGTCAATTGCAATTCAAAATAGGTGAACACAGCGCCTTTAAATATTTTGAGAGAAAAAGAGAGATCCCATTTACGTAAGTTTTATTACAATGTACTATTATTTTGTTCTGTTTTATTACTAGTTATTATTGTTTATCTTTTACTTTGTCTACTACGTACATTAAACTTTATCATCAGTATGTATGTACAGGGACAAACATAGTGTACATAGGGTCAGTACTATTCAGAGTTTCAGGCATTCACTGGAGATCTTAGGACATATACCTTGAGGATAAGAGAGGAACTACTGTATTTAATTTACATGAGCATTCCTTTTTCTCTAAACCAGTTTGAATAGAACCTCTTTAAAGAATTGTATAAATTAATTTGATAATATCATTGAGGGGTAGAAAAAGGATGTCAAGTATATATAATATACAAACATGTGTAGCCACCGAATCCGGTACTCGAACCGCGGTCAACTACATGGGAGTTCAGTGACATAGCCATTATGCCAACTGCTGGTCCCAAAAATATAATTCTTACTGAATTTTCAGTAAGAAAATATAAACTTTTATTTATATCTTATTTAATTCACTTTTAACATTTCTTGAATTGCTCATGAATATTTCATGATACATGAGACATAGCTGGCTATCATCTTTTCTTAATTGCCATGGATTTTGGCATTTGCTAGAGAGAGACGAAGAGAGAAGGAGACAGTACCTTCCCCCTTTCCCACCCTACCCCTACCTACGGCTCTGGAGTGTGGTGGTCATGTTGCAGTTTCTTTTCTGTTTCTGTACCCTGTTGGGATTTGGGCCATTCATGTACATATGCCCAGCAAGTTCTTCAATCCAGGGGCTAGGGTTCAAACCACATGGCTGCCCATGCAGAATCTGGCCTCCTTAGCCACTAGACCATGTTATTATCTTGTTGGCAAATTAGACAAATATTAAAAATACTACAAAAGCCAAGAGACAAAAAGTTAAACATTGTTTTCGCTTCCTCTCTCTTTTCTCTCTGTCACTTTCCTCCATCTAGCAATTCCTTTTTATTGTACATTTTGCTCTTTGATTAGATTTACAGTTTTGTAATCTTAAATATCCAGTAGATATAACATAAACTAATAAACCAGGTAAAAAATACATGTCCGCACTATAGCTAATACTGATAATTCTGAAGACATTCTTGCTTTGTTTTACCAACAATCTTAAAACCAGGTTTATTTACCAAAGGTTATCCCTGATCACATGGACTTGAAAAGAATTTGGGTTATTTCCTATGTTTCTGAGAGTTTTAGGAATATAGTAGTCCTCCTGTGTGACTTCATTTGCTTTGGTCAATTGCAATTCAAAATAGGTGAACACAGCGCCTTTAAATATTTTGAGAGAAAAAGAGAGATCCCATTTACGTAAGTTTTATTACAATGTACTATTATTTTGTTCTGTTTTATTACTAGTTATTATTGTTTATCTTTTACTTTGTCTACTACGTACATTAAACTTTATCATCAGTATGTATGTACAGGGACAAACATAGTGTACATAGGGTCAGTACTATTCAGAGTTTCAGGCATTCACTGGAGATCTTAGGACATATACCTTGAGGATAAGAGAGGAACTACTGTATTTAATTTACATGAGCATTCCTTTTTCTCTAAACCAGTTTGAATAGAACCTCTTTAAAGAATTGTATAAATTAATTTGATAATATCATTGAGGGGTAGAAAAAGGATGTCAAGTATATATAATATACAAACATGTGTACATAGATAAACAAACATACAAACAGAAGGAAAGTTCTTATATATATATATTTTTTTTTGAGAGGTTTTTGCTATAGGGTGCATGTGTTTGCCAGAAACACACAGAGAGACAGAGAGACAGAGAGACGTACTGCGTGTGTCAAGCCCCTTGTTAGGGCATCCATACCCTTGGAGGGAGGAGTCCTCATCAGTCACTAATCACCTCTTAAAGGCTTTTTAATGGTATCATATTCAAAAACACCTGCATTTGAAGGAGATAATATTGAAACTGTAGCAAATGGCTAAAGCTTTGTACTAATATTTGTGGAAAATGCTTTTTAAGATTTTTCACTTGCCCAGTTTTCAAATAGTTTCTTATTTTTCCCTCATGATAGTCATCTTCTTAAAGTTTTTATTTCCCAAAAGATACCTATCAGATTATAAAGAAGACAGGAAAATAGTGTAGGAAAGTTATATTTCTGAGGCACAGAAAAAGCATGCATGTTTTTTTCAAGAAGGAGTTTTGGGGTATTTTTGATTACTGTTAGAAATTTTTTTTATAGAAGCCATGCACTAATTTTTTTTATTTTTTCTTTTTGGAGAGGTTTTTGCTATAGGGCATGTGTGCTCACCAGAAAGACAGAAAGAGACAGAGAGACAGAAAGCGAGAAATCACCCCCCAGGGGGATGGCCACGCCACAATCCCTTCTCCTCCATTCTCCTCTCGGGATCTTGGGCACACGCGCCCGGCGTGAGTTTAAGTTGCCGAGTTGGGACTCGGTCGACTACATGGGAGTCCAGCGGCATAGCCATTATGCTAACTGCTGGTCCCAACCATGCACTAAATTTTACCTGAGAGACTGAGGAGACTTATGGCAACTGTCACCTAATCTATTTCCAGTTAGGTCGTTTTTCTGCTTTTAGCCTCAGATATTTACTTTTGGGGGACCCTGAGCCCTTGAGAACAGGGTCCTAAAATCAACGTGATTAAAGGACTAGAGTGGGAAGGCAAAAGGCTAACAGGGGTGGACAGAAGAATGGAGGAAAGAGGAAGAATCAAAGAGTGATGCTGGGATGGACAGGGATGCTCACTCTGAGGATCAGGAATCAGGTCTGTGCTCCATACTGCTTTACATAGAGAAAAGAATTAGTGAATAGAAAAACCATGTATTCAGTAAGGCCAGCACCGGCGAGAAAGCAGATCCCTTATCCACAAGGGATGTGTCCGAAGATCCCCAGTGAATGCCTGCAACTGAATAGTACTGACGCGATGTACACTATGTTTTTCCCTGTACATGTGAACCGATGATAAAGTTTAATGCTCATACAGTCCGTAACTGTCTCTGCTTTACTGGACAAAATATAAATCTTAGAGGTCAGTGTGAGGTGCATCTAGAAACAAAGGACAGATTATTCATTGTCGTATTCTGGAATGACAAGGAGGCCTGATTTTTGTCTTTGGGTAGGTTCACAAGGAGACATGATGGCGTGGGGGGTGGGCAATCACTGCTTCAGGGCATTTCTGTCTGGGGCATGCAGGACTGAATGGCCAGTCTCCATTCTCTTCAAGGGGCTTAACAACTGGCAGGGATTAACAAGGCAGTAGGAGCAAAATGGAGTTAGTCAAGACAACCTTTAGATCATGGTTTAGAAGCAGCTGAGAGTCTAGGTGTGGTTTCCTAACGCTTGAGCTGATAAAATCTTCAGCCAGTCTGATGGGAGGAGGCTTGGTTAGAGACTCAGCAAGGTTATTATTAACTGCTATTAGTTAAGCAGTATGCTAAATCTATGGTAAGGGCGGTAAAAGGTTAGGCTCTAGAAGACTCATTGTGAAGTGAAAGGCAGAAATGAGGGAACCAGCAGTTAGCATAATGGCTATGTCGCTGGACTCCCATGTAGTCGACTGCGGTTCGTGTCCCAGACCCAGTGGCTTAAAACTCACGCCGGGTGCGTGTGTGTGCATTCCCAAGATCCTGAGAGGAGAATGGAGGAGAAGGGATTGCGGCGAGACCATCTACCCTGGGAAGTGATTTCTCGCTTTCTGTCTCTCTGTCTCTGTCTGGCGAGCGCACACACCCTGTAGCAAAAACCTCTCCAAAAAAAAAGGCAGAAATGAAAGACTGATTTGCCTAAGGTTGAATCTACTAAGATGGACTCCAGGGATAAGTACAATAGAGTTACTTTGTTTTTCTCTTGTCTCAGTACCCGAGGAACTGAAGCATATGTGAATAAGTTTCATAGCAGCCAGTTTGAGGAGATCTTGTTCCCAAAGATGCCAGTGAAGTTCCACATTTTCCTTAGCCAAAATCATGCCGAGAAGAAAGGAGTCAGAAGAGGACGTAGATCATATAGCTAGTAGAGCTTAAGAGGGGCGTCAGTTATGTGAGAAGTTCCCATAGGAGAAGAGAACAGAAAGGTCTTCAAGAAACAGACTGTATTTCAGCTTGCATTTAAGCCAGCCTCTGACCATACAGCTCTTTCTTTAAAAGTATTTTCAAATATCTTATTATCTGGTTTCAGACAGGAAAAACAGTAAATATTCCTGGCAGCATTTAACTTTTTTTTTTAACTTTTATTATTATTTTTTAAACCAAAGGTACTTACCAAGTGACTCAAAATCAGCACCAAAGACCAGCAGTTAGCGTAATGGCTATGTTGCTGGACTCCCACATAGTCGACCGCGGTTCGAGTCCCAGACCCGGTGACTTAGACTCACGCCACGTACATGTGCGTGCGTGCCCAAGATCCCGAGAGGAGAAAGGAGGAGAAGGGATTGCGGCGTGGCCATCCACCCAGGGGTGATTTCTTGCTTTCTGTCTCTCTGTCTCTCTCTCTCTGTCTGGTGCACACGCCCCCTAAAGCAAAACCCTCCCCCCCCGCCAAAAAAAAAGAAAAAACAATCAGTACCAACACATCTCTTAGGACTTAACCATGAATTACGGAGATCTTTTCAAAAAAGGTGTAGTCCTTTCAAGATCCAGAACCACTCCCAAAGACAGTCAAAAGAAAGAAGAGAGCTTTGTTGCCATAGATGGTTTAGGACAAAATAATGTCTCCGGTCTCCCATGGAAGAGGGGATACCTCTAGTCAGAGACCCACTAGTCTGTGACACCAGAAAGGCAACTAACAAAAGAACCAAAGTATAACAAACTCCCTTATGCACAGGGACACCTATTATCGTAAACTCCCCTGAGAGCTCGCACAGTTGGACAAAAGAAACGTTTAGGTTCCCAGCCTGTTTGACTGGCTGCCTGATATATTGGTACCCCCTGCCTGGCAGAGACTGGAGAGAATATTCTCACTGGTCATAAAACTGATCCCTGAGGACACAAAAGGAGACAAACAGAAAATAGATCTTTGTCCCCGAGAGGGACAGGATCGATAATAAATAGGTATCCCCAAACCAAGTTTATGGAAGAGTGAAATCCAACAAGAGATACTCTCTTGTTAATCTGAAGCTGAAAAGGAATTCCTCTTTCTAAAAACTTGTTTTTAAGCCTGTGCTATTTTATTTTATTTTTTTGGAGAGGTTTTCACTATAGGGCGCGTGCGCTCGCCAGACAGACAGAGAGACAGAGAGACAGAAAGCGAGAAATCACCCCCCAAGGGGGATGGCCACGCCACAATCCCCTCTCCTCCATTCTCCTCTTGGGATCTTGGGCACACATGCACACGTGCCCAGCGTGAGTTTTAAGCCACTGGGTCTGGGACGCGAACTGTGGTCAACTACGTGGGAGTCCAGTGACATAGCCATTATGCTAACTGCTGGTCCCAAGCCTGTGTTATTTTAATTCATTAATTAATTTTTAATTGGAGGAATGACCTCAGGACATTGGTACAGGCAAAGAGTTTTTGAATAAAATCTTAAAAGCACAGGTATTAAAAGTGAAAATAGACAAATGAGATTATAACAAACTAAAAAGCTTCTGCACAGTAAAGAAACAGTCAACAGAACGAAGAGACAGCTCAGAATAGGGAAAAATAAAAAGTTGCAAACTGTTTATCTGACACGGGATTGATAACCAGAATATACAAAGAACGTAAATAACCAAGAAGCATAAAACCAATTAATATGATTTAAAAATGGGCAAATGGGACCAGCAGGTAGTGTGGTGGTTAAGGCATTGGATCCACCTGACTGACTCTGAAGTTAGAGTCCTGGACCTGGTGGCTTGAAAAATCCAGTGGGGGGACCAGCAGGTAGCATGGTGGTTAAGGGTGCTGGACTCCCATATGGCCAACTACGGTTTGAATCCTGGACCTGGCAGCTTTCTCTCCTCTCCTTTCCTCTCTCTCTCTCTCTCTCCTTCCCTTCTCCTCTCCTCTTCTCTCTCTCTCTCTCTCTCTCACACACACACACACACTCTGTCCGTCTCTAAATAAATAAATAAATAAAGTTAAATAAAAATAATTCTTTAAAAAAGAAAGAAAGAAAGAAAAACCCAGTGAGTGCATGTGTTTACATGTCTAAAATCCCAAGAGGAGAGTGAGAAAGGATTGCAGTTGCTATCTCCGCTGGGGACAGTTTCTTTACTTCTCTTTCTGTCTCTCTCCAGAAAGCACATGTGCCCCGTGGCAAAAATCTTAAAAATAAATAAATAAACAAATACATAAATAAATAACTAGAAGACAAACAGGGACCAGCAGATGGTGTAATGGCTACGTCACTGAACTCCCATGTAGTGAACCGTGGTTCGAGTCCTGGACCCGGTGGCCTAAACTCACGCTGGGTGCGTGTGTGCGTGCCCAAGATCTTGAGAGGAGAATGAAGGAGAAGGGATGGCGGCATGACAGTCCCCCCCCGCGGGGGGGTTGGTGGTTATTTCTCGCTTTCTGTCTCTCTGTCAAGTGCACACACCCTATAGGAAAAACTTCTTCAAAAAAAAATAATGACAAACAAACATGAAAAAAATCCTCAGCATCATTAATCATTAGGGAAATGCAAATCAAAACTACCATGAGATACTATGTCATCCCAGTTAAACTGGCTATTGTCAGAAATAGAAATAAGTCAGCAGGCAGAGAAAGAACTCTTACACTGTTAGAAAGATTCTTCCTTCCACTTTTGGCTGGACACCACTGGCAGAGGCCTGGGGGAGCTGACCTTGCTGAAAATTCTCACCTTTCGCCACTCTTTTAAGTCCGTTGCTTCGGGATCTTGTCTGCATGTTCTGCAGTTAGTGGGGTTTCTCATCTCCCTCAAGTTGGGTGCCAGAAACTGTTGGGGAACAAAAAAAAAAAGAATATCTTTTATTTACCTACCACAAGCTTACTGACTGAGAGCTAGTCAAAAAAAAAAAAAAAGAAAAAGAACAAAAAGATTAATGTGAGAAAAGGATAACAAATGTATTTAATGTAAATTGTAAATGGCACGGAAACCTTCAGAAAATGAAGACAGCAAGGCCTAGGAAAAGCAGTGTATTTTCATAGCCATGCAGCAGTTTGACTGGAAGGCCAGTGCGTTTGGATGGCAAATGGTAAGCAGCTCTGGGAGAGGACCTGTTTGTTCAGATCCTTTCTGGTCTTGGGAGGCAGGTCAGAGAATTCTTTTTATAGCAGTTCTCAGGAGAAATGGGCAGAAGGAGGCCAGAGAGTGGTCCTGGGCCTTCCTGCCTCTGCTGTTTTCTCAACTTCCTTCAGCACGAAATACTCCGTATGCCAAGGTACCATATTTTGGGTTACTGTGCTCTGAGCCCACCCCAATTCCGTGCTCTACCACTTAGATCTTAAACTTCGCTTTTTGTTTCTTTGTCCTCATTCTGGAGTTTTTGTTTTTGACCCCCCTCCCCCAACTGGAAGAACATTTACTTTCCGGTGGCTTTTTCCTGTTTCTTTTCTTGAGGTCTTGCTTAAATTCTCTGAGGCCTACTTTCTCATCTATAAAATGGAATGATCGTAAAGCAGTTGGCACAATTTCTTGTACCCAGAGTGTTCCGTAATTGGTGATGATGCCTTTGATCCCAGGGATGGCCTTTTATTTAAAAACTGTCGTGACATGAGTTAGCATAATGGCTATGTCGCTGGACTCCCACGTAGTTGACCGCGGTTCGATTCCCGGACCCAGTGGCTTAAACTCATGCCGGACGCGTGTGTGTGTGCATGCCCAAGATCCCGAGAGGAGAATGGAGGAGAAGGGATTGCGGTGTGACCATCCCCTCCTGGGGTGTGATTTCTCGCTTTCTATCTCTCTGTCTCTCTCTCTCTCTTTCTGTCTGGAGAGCACACGTGCCCTATAGCAACAACCTCTAAAAAAAAAATTAAAAATTAAAATCTGTCGTGACGTTCCTCCATTGTCCTTCCCATTCCCATCCTCATTCAAATCTTCCTTCTGATAGGAGTGAGATGTCAAGGCAAAAACCCTTACTGTAGTGTCAGCTCTTCATTTTCCAGATTCTCGGTTCTCCTCATTCTCTACCTGCCATGTAACTCTTGTATGTCCTCCTTCCCTGGGAGTCGGAGGTTATGGTGGCAGAGAAAGGGACGACTAATTCATTAGCGAGATGAGACCCCGCCGTTGATGCCAGAGGGGATCTGCGTGGAGGAGATAGGCATGGGCGTCTCAGCCACTCCAGCAAAAGGTCGCCCTTTATCTTGCCTTTCGTGCGCTACGTTCTCTCTGGGAAAAGAATTTTTCAAATATCAATTTTATAAATTAAAATGAAGTCTTAAGATGAATAGTGGGCCCCTCACAATAAAGATTTTTCTTTTATCATTTGTTTGCATGGAAATCCTTTAGCAAAATAGCTAGATTTGGGATTTTGGTTGGTATTTAATTCAGGGTTGCACAATGGCCCGTGATGACAGGATTCAAATGCTTTGGCTATGCTTGAGTAATCTTGAGTGGTGATTGACTCTTTTTAAAATAGCAGGACCGCTTTTCTTGTCCTTTTCTGTAATTACAGATTTTGTGGACGTTGTCTGTTACTAGTTATTGTTTTCCTTTTTCTTTTTTGATATATATATATATATAAATCATTTTGAGAGCTGCCAATTCAGTTAACTATGTAAGGTATATCCAAAAGACAGTTCAGTCGCAGCTATCACATGGATTGTATGCAAGAAGCTATTCCTTTCATGGAGTAATCACAGCATAGAGAGAGGAGGAGGGAAAAGAGGCAGCTTTAAACCTGTGCTCTTTTTTTTTTTTTTTATCCTCCATACCTGCCACCCCATTGACAGAATACACACCTTCCAGTGTCTTTTTCCTGTTTCTATACTTGAGGTTTTGCCCTATCTGAGTGTATTACTGGTTGCTTCTACATACAGAGGATAACTGTGTTAAGATTATCCCTTTTGGGACCAGCAGTTAGTGTAATGGCTATGTCGCTGGACTCCCAAGTAGTCGACTGTGGTTCGAGTCCCGGACCCGGTGGCTTAAACTCATGTCAGGCGCGTGTGCGTGCGTGCCCAAGATCCCGAGTGGAGAATGGAGGAGAAGGGATTGCAGCGTGGTCATCACCCCTGGGGGGTGATTTCTCGCTTTCTGTCTCTCTGTCTTTCTCTTTCTGGCAAGTGCACGCGCTCTATAGCAAAAACCTCTCCAAAAAAAGGAAAAAAAAAAGATTATTCCCTTTTCTGTCTTCCATTGGCCATTGCAATTGGAATTGAAGTGTGAAGTGATGGAAGATAATGTCTAGCTCCGTTTTTTTTTTTTTTTTTTTTTTCTTTAGGTTTTGCCGTAGGCTGCCTATGCTTACTGGAGGGAAACAGAGGAAGGAAAAGTGAGAAATCACACCTGAGGTGGGATGGTGGATGACCACCTGACAGTCTCTTCTCTATTCTCCTCTTGGGGTTTTGGGCACATGTGTACACACACCCCTAGTGAGAGTGATTTTCATGCCGTTGGGTCTGGGACTTGAACTGTGGTTTTCCAGGTGGGAATACAGTATCTTAACCACCACACCATCTGCTGACCCCAGTGTCTAGCTTATTTTACAAATAAGGAGCATGAAGTCAATATATGCAGGTAGATGTTTAAACATTGGCTCCCTGGGAGAGAAAGCCCTGATTTGTGGTGGTTGCTGATTTCCGTAGTGTAAATACTCCTGTGGAGGTGGGTTTCAAGCTACCAACGTGATTACAGAAGCCAGAGCTGGAAAAAGATGCCAAGAAGCAGACCATTTTATAACCTATCTCCCAGACAGAGGCAAAGAACATCAGATCACAGATCATTGTACAGTGTAGTAAATGAGTTAGAAGTGGTGAGTTTTAAGTATTTTTACCTACATTTTAAAATACAGTTTATCCACATGCAGCCAGCGTGGTTTCAGGTTGATCTAGGGCTCTGTACCTGTGGTGGGCCGTGTGGCTGCCAGCCCTACAGTCCCGTATGCTACAGGCTGTGGCCACTTAGGCCGGGCCAGTAGAGCTTAATTTTAACAATGGCTGTGCTGAGCACCTGGCTCCCAAAGTTCCTGAGATTTAACTATCATCCCTCAGACTGGCTCCAGCACACCAAATGGGACCCAGAGAAGTTGCTGTCTTGCCGGAGGTCCATTGACAAGTCATGCAGAACTTAGATTATTAAAGAGCTGTTTCTCTCACTCTTTTTTTTAAAGAGGTTTTTGCTTTAGGGCATGTGTGCTTGCTTGGGAGAGAGAGAGAGAGAGAGAGAGAGAGAGAAACACAGGGAGAGGGAAAATGAGAAGTCATCCCCCAAGGGGGATGGCCACACTGCAGTCCGTTTTCCTCCTGGGATCTTGGGCACATAGGCACATGTGCCCAGTGTGACTTTCAAGCCATCAGGTCAGGGACTTGAACCGCAGTCTACCACTGGGGAGTCCAGCAATGTAACTGCTATACTGTCTGCTGTTCTCAAGGAGCTGTTTCTTAAAACTAGACTTCTCTAAGATGTTTTACTTATCAGTGTTTTTGTTATTCATTTGTTTGTTTATTGCATCCGCTAACAATCTGTGAAACTTTTGGACTGATATGGACTTCCATTATCTATTGAGACAGTAAGTCAGAATACTTGAGTAAAATTGTAAAAGATCGGAAGCAGATGAGACTTAGAGCTGTAAATAAATCCTGGCTTGAAGCCTTGGCCCTACTACCTACCAAGGTATAATCTTGATTAGGTTAATTATTTCCCTGGTTTCAGATTTTCAGTCTGTAAAATGAAAGAATTGGACCACATTTAATATTTCACATAGGAGGGACCAGCAGCCGGTTAGGTTGTTGGACTCCCATGGGGTTGACTGCAGTTTGAGTCCTGGACCTGGAGGCTTCAAACTCACACCGGGAGCATGTGCATGCGTGCCCTAAATCCCATAAGGAGACTGGAAGAGAAGGGATTCTGGCAAGGCCATCTCCCCTGGGGAGGTGATTTCTTGATTTCTTGCTTTCTTGCTGGTCTCTCTGGCTCTCTCTGTTTCTGTGTTGAACACACATGTTCCTATAGCAAAAAAGTCTCTCTAAAAAAAAATTTCAGATAGGTCTAAAATATCATGGTTTATTATTTAGATCTACTCATTTGATAAATATTTGCTTAAAACCAATTATGTTTACACTTGTTATGAACTCTACTCCAGGCAATATTAAATACAAATATAATAGTAATAATTGTCACACTGCCTCATACCTATTTACCAATTGGGAAATTTACTCTGTGTCGTTGAGATTTGGAGGCCTTAGGAGATCAGGATACATTTTAATAGAATGTTAGAGAAAGAAGAACTTATTCTAGAAGAACAAACAGAACCTTATTCCTAGGAAACGCAAGAGGTCATAACCAGGTAGTATCGAGGAATAAGGAACTAGCATTTTTTTTGTGCCATGTCTATCAGTTGCTTTTCTTTATTTAAGAACAAAACAAAACAAAAACAAAACCTATTAGCTTTTACTGATTATAAGATTAACTATTATAGAAAATGTAGAAATTCTTAAGTAGTATTAAATAAGGAGAAAATACCATCTATTCAATCTAGTATCCTGCTTTTCCTTGCTGAATATTTTATCCTATTTCCCTAAAAATTCTCAGTAGGGTCATTTTAATCGTTGTACTTAATTCTATCCTTTTGGTATATAGTAATTTATCTGATGTCTGTCTTATTGTTAGAAATTTAAATTGTTGACAATTTTTATTATTCTGAAGAACAGCATGATAAATACTGTGTGAATTCTGCGTTGAACACATGGTTTCCAACTGTAATATTTAAGGTTTACTAACACTTAGCAAATCATATACTTTGGACTTTTAGGTTATTAGATTCTGCTGATACTGGTTTGTAGTCATCCAGGTTTTATTCTGTTTCTAAACTTTCAGTAAGAGGAACATTTTGTCTGAATTTTTCAATATAATATATTTGAACTATAAATAACAACAATATTTTCATATTATTTCAAGTAGATATGATACAGTGTGTGGTTAATAGATTTTTTTTTTCACTTTCTGTGTGGGAAAGTGCTTGATAAATGTTCAATAAATTAAAAATTTTAAGCCATGTTAGGATAAGCACAAAAACGCTTGAGAAGGGTGTTTAAAAAAAGCACAACAGTTCTCCATTCATGATAATAGCTTTCATTTTCATTAGGAGGGATGACAGCACACTTCAGGAATTCTGAATATTAAATGAGAACTGTGACACAAGTTTGTTGTTGCTTTAATTCACCTACATGGGAAACCATGACTCAAATAGTTATTTGATTAAATGTTAATGAGATCTACTACTTTGATCCAATTCTTATTTTTATGTATTAGATTTTTGTCAATTAAAATGAGACTAGTTTGCTTCTTTTTTTCTGTAAGATCTTTGAGTCACTATCTGCTTACAAGGGAAGCACTATAACTACCCTGGTTATTTAAATATTAATGGCCTCCATTAAAGGAGACTGAAGGCTTGCAGCAGGAAAGTTGAAATATTCAGTGGTGCAATTGGTTTCTTGTTTTTGCCCCCAGGAAAAAAAAACAACCTCTTACTGAAAGAGCTTCTTCCATTATGTTTTTAATATCACATTCCCCCACCCCTCAAGCCAGAGAGTTAAACTGTTGATTTCTGGTATTCCTTAAAAGTAGCTATGCTATTAAAATATCAATGTAACAAGTTCTCATAATTAAAAAATATATGTTTTAACAGTGCCATAATGGCCATTACCCTTGGGCTTCTTGGGAACCTAATTTCAGCTTCTAAATTAATTTTCCTCCTTATTATAGTCAATAACAGGCAAACACATTTTTTTTTAGCTCCATAGTGTATTTGTTTGGGCTTATTTACATTAAGTGTAGGAAATTCTATTAAGTCAACCCTGAGAGGTTAACACGACAAGGGTTATATATTCAATCAAATTACAAGCTTTCATCTTACTGAGGATATTTGGCTGCAAAGCTTTTCAAATTTGCTACAACCAATATTTTTATGTTATGCCAAATAGTTTGAGATAAACATGTGGAGAATTGATGGTTGCACATTTTGTTTTTAGGATGTTCCAATGGCATGACATTTTAAAGTGTTGGACAGTCAGAAGTGGGCATTATATGTACACAATTGTCTATCTCTTTCTGCATTCAGAAATCTAAGTGAGTGTAGTATGTATTCATTTCCTGTATTTTATTTAGAATTTGGAGCTAGGAACTGGGTAATGCTTACCTGAATAAGGGAAGGGTGCTGGTGTAATTATCATAATACCTAGCAGTGTCAGGACTAGGTAAGTGGAGGCCCCTGCTTCAGGTGTGAAATTTAGTGTCCCCCCAAAACCCCCACTAATAGAGAGAAATAGTATTTCAGTGCAATATGTGAAAAAGATCCAAATGCAAAAAAAGTAATGATGTAAAAAGTTATTTAAAAAGAAAATTTGCCATAGGGTATGTGAGCTCCCCAGAAGAAAGAGAAAGAGGGAGAGAGAAAGAGAAAACATCCTCCAGGGGTGATGACCGCAATGCGGTTCCTTTTCCTCCATTCTCTTCTCAGGATGTTGGGAACAACATGCATACATGCCCAGTGTGTTCTTCAGGCCTCTGAGTTCAGGACTCATACTGCACTGGTAGCTCTGTGGGATCCAACTGCCTTAACCACTGTGCCACCTGGCTGACCGAAGAGTTAGATTTTTAGTTGAAGATGAGCTCCAACCTGCACCTGCACCTCACTCACCATCCCCCTGATCTGCCATAACTGAGATCGAGGCCTAGTTTCTCTACTTTCATGTCTGCACAGGAGAAACTCCTTTGAGTCAGATTTCCTTTGTCTAAAATTGGCGATAATAATCTTTGCTTTCCTGGTGGAATTATCAGAAGATTCAGAGCAGTTAAAAATACATGGGAAAACCCATTATAAAGACAATTTACATATTTATGTCCAAATTTATGTAAATGGCTGTACAATTTTAAGCCATTATTATTATTATCAGAATACTCTAAGCACACATTAAGCGTGAATATCCTTGGAGAGCTTTGTGCTAATAAAGTTTGGGGCCTAATTTCTTAAGGTCGCTCATTATCTGGCATGAGGCAGAGAGACCTGAGGATGGTTATAGAATTCTACCTCTCTTCCTTCTCTCTTTTTAATTCTTGTTTTTGTTCTTAAAAGCTGGTAATTTGTAGGAGATAGAGGGGATAATCTGAAATTCATTGTTTATTTTAAATTTACCTGCAAAGTGTAAGTGAAAGATACCTGAGGTTTCACCTTTGCTCAAACCATTCTGACAACCGGCGCTGCCGTCCATATTTCTCCTGCCTATCTGAGTTCTACCCACCTTTTATTTACATATGCCCTTGGTAAAGCCTCTGCCCTCCCATGGTGGCACAAGGGGCCCTACCACTCACTCGGTGACCATTTACTGAGTCCTCCTTGTCCTGAGGCTTTATCTAATCTGCCATGGAATTCACTGCCCAGACCACATTTTAAAAAATATAAATGGGCCAGTCATGGCGCTGCAGTCCTCCACAATGCTGAAGCCATACGGGAATGTCCCAGGTTGGTTTGGGTCCTGAGGCCTCCCTGTGTATGCTGGACATGTGCATGTGCCAGTGATCCTGGCTGGCTGAGACTGGTGTGGATTGTGGCATAAAGACCCTGTCGGGGGTGCCTTTCTCTCTTTCTCTCTCTCAGGAAAGAAAAAACAGAAATAATGGTTCTCCAGGTACATTGTAAATCTCTTGAGGATCCTGCACCAGACTGTGAGCTTCAGGGGGAGCGGAGGTTGTTCTGTCTTATTCATGGTGATAGGAACTTGGAGAGCTTTTATACACAACGTACTTTTTTTTGAGTGAATAAGTGAATTTCTTGCATGTAAAAAACTAGGTAAATATTTACTCTCTTGGCTCACTTATGGAGTATTATCGTTTTCGTCTTAGATTTGGAGGGAGTTGTTGGCACCGTGTGGAAGATGATGATTCTGCTGGTCTTGCTGATGCTCAACCCCTGTGATGGGCTGTTTCGCTCCGTATACAGAAGTGGCCTGGTTTCCACGCCATTGCAAGGAGATACAGGACGGCCATTGTTTCTTACCCCTTATATTAAAGCTGGGAAAATCAAAGAAGGTAAGTTTAATAAAATCAGAAAACCATTGGTATACTTTTGATAGCTTTTTTTTTTTTTTTTTTTAATTATTCCACAGGATACAAAATGCATTCTGGTATTTTTACTAGATTATTTTATTTCCAGTGATCATGATTTCTGGCCCTGCTTCTGTTGCACAGCCAGCAGTGTGCCTGACTGTGGAACTGGAAATTGCATGCCAACTTTGGTTTGAGTTCCTGGCCCGGTTGGCCTGAAAGCATGCTGGATGTGTATGCACATGCCTGGAATCCTGGCAGGCTGGAGGGCTGGAGGAAGAGGGTGGCAGCATAGCTAAGCCATGTGGAGGTGATTCTCTTGTATGCACATGTTACTCTATCATGACTTGTAAGAATTCTTTTTCTTGTTTTGTAGAGAGATTTTTGGTATAGGGCTCGTCAGAAGATAGAGACAGACAGAAAGACAGAAAATGAAAACTCCCATCCCCCAGGGGGGAAGGCCACGCAACCATCCCTTCTCTTCCAATCTCCTATTGGGATCTTAGGCACACATGCACATATGCCTGGCATGAGTTTGAAGCTGCTGGGTCTGGGACTTGAACCATATTTGACTACATAGGAGTCCAGTGATGTAACCATTATGCCACCTGCTGGTCCTGAAAAAAATTAAAAATAATATATTAGTGGACTGGGCTCCGTGGCTGGCTGGTTAAGGCTGCTGAATCCCACATGGCCAGCTGTGTGGTTCAAGTCCTGGATCTGGCAGCTTGAGAAACATGCTGGACCCATGCACATGTGCTTCCAAAATCCCCAAAAGAGGGAGAGATGGAGGAGAAGCAATTGTGATGTTCACATTCTTCATGGGGATGCCTTCTCCTCTCTCTTGCTCCCTCTGTCTTCTCTCTCACTCTCTGGTGAACACATGTGCTCTCTAGCCAAAAAAAAAAAAAAAAAAAAAGGGGGGGGGGGGGGGGGGTTAATATAGAGAATTTTGTGTGTGTGTGTGTATATATATGACATTATATACATATATTATATATATATATATGATATGACATTATGTTATTATATTATCAGAGTTTTATGCCAAAATTAGAGCTAGTCAGAGCTGGATTAGCTGTGTGGTCAAATGGCAACATTTCTATTTATAAGACCAGGAGAGTGCACCAGTGGGCACTTAAAACTAATACTAACCCTGTGACCTGTTATGCATCAGTTACTGTTCTAAGCATTCTACAGGAACTCATTGAAACTTCTTAGCAACCCATGGAGCTGTACCCGTTTTACACATGTGCAGACTAAAGCAGAAAGAGTGAGTTACTGGCCAGAGTTCGCACGGACGCCAGCTGGTAGAGACACAGGCTCCAACCTGACACCTCGCTGTGCCATGCCCCAGCATCCAGCAGGTACCCACACATGCCAAGCCTCAGTTTCCTCTCTCATAAAATGGGGATTTAATGATTTCCCTGACGTTCAGAGAATCTAATGAAAAAATAAACACAAAAACTCTTTGTTGCCTGTAAATTGCTCTCCAAATATTAGTGTTGCAAATGGCTTTCTTTGGAGATTTTTGGTTTTTCGATTATTATTGATAGCAAAAAGGTATCCTGTGTTGAGATCAGAGACTAAAATTTATGACTTGGCATCTGCTCTTTGTGCTTCTGTGTGCTTAGGTAAATCACTGCGCAGGTAAATGACTTCATCTCTCTGGATAGCATTCTGGCAGCTGTTCTGAGGAGCTATTTGTAAAGAGAAGCAGAGAAATAGAGTAGAAGACCAGTGAGGGCCAAGAAGGGTCTTTAAGAGGATCAGAGTTTATGTTAGCTTGTGGAAGTGATAGGGAGTGGAGGGGGCGGGTGGAGAGAGGGGAGCCATTGTTAGGCCTGTGTTTACGTAGGGTTGGGGTCTGGCACACAGGGAAGCGCTGGTCTTGCTCAGGAGCCCAGTTATTCCCTGGTCCCCAGTGGGAAGGCAGAACTGCGCCTGTAAGGCTGGGAGTCGGTAGTTGTGATAGGAATGTGGTATGATACTGAAAATTTTAGGGAGATAGCCATTTAAATATCGAAAAGAAGGACCAGCAGGTGGCGTGTTGGTTAAGGCACTGGACTCCCACATGGCCCACCACGGTTCCAGTCCCAGACCTGGCAGCTTGCTTTCTCACTTTCTCTCTCTCTCTCTGGCCAGTGCACATGCCCTATAGTAAAATTGAAATAGTAAGAATTAATAAAATTAAATAGAATAATTGTTTAAAAAAAGATAAAAAGATAAATCCAGACATTCCCTACGTAAATTAAAGCACATTTTTTTTAATTCGACGTATTCTCACAGTCAACAAGATGTCATTCATTCTTTCTTAAACCAAGACGTTTTAAGGGAAGGTGTGTTTAAGACCGATTCATATGTCTTTTTCTGAGATACACGTTGGCTCTAAGTTTCACCATCTGTTTTCTGAGGAAAAGGTGACATGCTTGGGTAATGTATTCAGTGTATTTAAAAGTGAACTCAGTTTTACTTGATGAAGAGAAGTCTTGAAAAGAGAGTAGCCTGATTGTGTAGGTCGACCTCATTAAGCCATGTAATGAAGAGGCAAAAATATCATTAACCCAAACCCACGGAACTGGATCACATGCACTCACTTCAGCTTCCTTCATGAGAGGATCCTAATGACTAAGGTTATGCTCATTTATCCTAAACCAAAGCAGATGACTTCATTTAGAGCCAAACTGGGGTTAAATCATCATTCTATTAACCAAATCCTACCTGTGAGGAAACTGAAATTCAAATGCCTTCCTTGATTTGCCCCGGGAGATGCAGGTTGCAGAGAGGGGTGTCAGGCCCAGATCTTCTGACTTCTGCTCTGTGGCTTGTTATATTGGTCCCCCATGGTTTAAGAAGCTTGTGCCCTTCCGAACCAGCCAGAAGCGCATACGCGAAGTGGCCCAGGAGTCAGGCAGTGCAGAGCGGTGCGTGCTGTAGTACTGAAGTATCCTAGTGGAGTGGAGGTGGGTGCCTGCGAATTGTTTTTTGTTTTTGTTTTTGTTTTTTTTTTTTGTTTGAGAGGTTTTCGCTATAGGGCGCGTGCGCTCGCCAGACAGACAGAGACATAGAGACAGAAAGCGAGAAATCGCCCCCCAGAGGGGATGGTCATGCCGCAATCCCTTCTCCTCCATTCTCCTCTCGGGATCTTGGGCACGCACACACAGGCGCCCAGTGTGAGCTTTAAGCCACCGGGTCCAGGACGCGAACCGTGGTCGACAATGTGGGAATCCAGCGACATAGCCATTATGCTAACTGCTGGTTACCGGTGCCTGTGAATTTTGAGAACGAATCTATCCCTGTGGGTTGACATTATCCAAGGAGAAAAGAATCAGTAGTACTGGGAAAAAAGAATATTTAGTAATTTTTCCCAGTGCTCATTACCTGTATATGATAGATATTTAATAAATATTTGTGGAATTTTGAGTTTGAATTCTAACCATGTTCAAGGCTTTTTTTTTTTTTTAAATACATCTTTTAGTTCATTTAACCCTCAGAGCAGCCCTAATGAAGGACACATAATTAGTTATTCCCATTTTACAGATGAGAGAACCAGGGCCCTGAGCAATGAAATACGTTGCCCAAGGCCATAAACTTAGGAAATGGCAGAGCTGGAATTAAAATCTGAACCTGCCGGGACCAGCAGTTAGCGTAATGGCTGTGTTGCTGGACTCCCATGTAGTCGACTGTGGTTCGCATCCCGGAGCCGGTGGCTTAAAACTCACACCGGGTGCGTGTGCGTGCGTGCCCAAGATCCCAAGAGGAGAGCGGAGGAGAAGAGATTGCAGCGTGGCCATCCCCCCTGGGGGGTGATGTCTCGCTTTCTGTCTCTATGTCTGTCTGGCAAGTGCACGCACCCTATAAAAAAAAAAAATCTGAACCTGCCAACCCCAGAGACTACAGTATGAAGCACCGTGCAGTAGTTGTGGAGTAATGTCGGAGTGAACAGAAAGGCCTGTGCTCACTGAAGGAGGGAACAGCCCCAGCCGCGGCCCCGAGTGCGGGTGAACATCGTGTGCTACACTGTGCGTCTACCACGGCCCAGCGAAATGGAGGCGGAGAAGCCCACCGGAGCCTGTCCACAGCCCTCCTGTTCTGCCTCTCTTGCTTATATCCATTCCACAGTTAGGGGCATGAGCAGTCACAGGAAGGATTCCAAGGGAGGTGGTTTTTATCTTTTGTCCTTCTGTGCCAAGACTGTTAGATCTCTCTCAGATGAATAACATTTAAAATATTAAATCTGTATGTAATATCACTTTGTAAAGTTACACAGTCGAAATCTTTGAACAGAATTTTAAGTGGCTGATCCAAAATCTGATGCATCTGGGTGTTCATATACAGCCCTGACAACATAATTAAGGATAATTTTATTCATCTGTTTTCCTGAAAGTTCGGGACGCTCTGGCCAGATGGTCAGCTCACTCCCCTAAATCCCTTTTGTTTATCGAGTCTGTCAAAATCCTAGCAATGTGAGTTTTAATATTGCAATGGAACATTTTTGAAGTAAACAGTAGTTCTCTAAAATACCAGAGAAATTTTAATTTTCCGTGATCCCCAATTAGCTGGCTTAGTGCTATGTAATTGTAATTGCATGTTTACTTTCTCTGCAGCTAGAATACATCTTTACTCTCTGAAACATAATGAATGTAGGAGGCAAATTTTAGTATGTTTACAGACATTGCATTTTCACAAACTGTACAGAATATTTTGGCTATTCGGTCTACAATGATCACTCCTTACAGCTTGGAGGTGTCTTGCCCATATTGGAGATAGCACGTGCGTTTGTGAATGCCACATGCCCTTTTATCAGCTGGCTTAAGGCCGTCTTTGGTCATACGCCGATCTTTTTAAAAGTGTTAATATCACAAACACTGGTGACAATAGTAGGTAACAAGTAGGAAGTAAAATAACTTCAAAGAAAACGGTTTCCTCTTTTACGCTGTCTTAACATTTGTATTGTGAGTCATGGTACCGGAAAGATGGAAACTCCTACGTCTTGGGAGTTTGTTTGCTTCATTCCATTAATAGACCCTGGAAGGATGCTCAGGATATTAAAAAATATAAAATATTATGTTAATCAAAGTGCTGTTAATCATTTGACTGTGATTGAGTTCATAGACATGTAAAACACAGGGCAAAACGCATTTTTTATTGGCCGGAGAAAAGTTCTTCTGAACTTCTCAAGATGTCCACAAAGTCTGTCTTCCTTAAGAGGTTTTTATAAGAAATAAGTGAATCCTACTCCATTGTCAGCACGGCTTGTTTTAGCCCATTCATTTGACATTCATCCATCCACCCATTGATGAGCGTTCATTCATCGGATAGGATTTATTGACTGTCTTCATTAAAGCAGCAAGCTGGGTTACGAAGATAAATAAGATGGAACTCCCTGCTTTCCAACAGCTCCTGGTCTAGGAGGGAACGTCTGAAATGCACCCAAGCACAGGTAGCAGAGACGCCACTTTGGCATCCCCAGGAAGGGGGAGACGAGTGAACTGAATCATTCCGAGAGCAGGCCAGGGACGCTGCTCTGCTGGTCTCGGAGAGATAGATGGATTCAATCATCTTTTCCCAATATCCCATTCCCTCCAGCTCCCTTCTCTTTCATATTTTCTCTTTTTCTCATTAGACTTTGACCTTTCTCATTTTTCTCTGTCCTCTTTCTGAGCTCCTCGCCTGCCCATTTCCCTCCGAGGTTCACATCTCACTCCTTCCCACCTTCAAGTTTTTCTTCTCTACCCCTCCCCCGTTTTTGTAATGGTCTATGTTTGATTTCTAGAAGATGAATAGTTTTGCTAAAAATGTTTGGAAAGCATTTTAAAGGCTATCCAACCCTGAAGGGTGACCTTTCTTGGGGCTGTCTGAGAGTGGTAGTAAAGTAGGGGAAAGGAGGAAATGGCTGCTAGAGGGAAGAGACGGGGGAAGGACTAGCCTTTCTTCAAACACCTCCTTTTCCATCTCAAAACCCCTTCCTCTCTGTTTTCCCCTTGCCTCTTTTGGCTGGCTGCAGAGGTATACTCTCATTTGAAAGAGAATCTGAAGAGCTACAGAGGTTGGATTAGCAGCCTTCCTCAGGGAAGTGGGCTGAGCCAGAAGACAGCAAACCTTCTTGATTGGATAACCTCAGCATGGCTGCATGTCCAGCTCTGTGTGAAGGGGTCATGTGTGGTTTTCATTTGGTCCTCACTGAAAATCCGTGGTGGGGATATCAGTATCCACATCCGGCATGAAAGGAAAGAAGCTCAGAGATGAAGCAGCAAGTTGCTTGTTAGAATGAACAAGCCTGATCTGTCCTCCTAGGGAACCCATGCTCTCCCCATTGTGCTAGCCCGGGAGGACCCTCAGGGACTATCTTCGCCTCTGTGTCCCCAGGTGCCCCCGTTCTAGTAGCAGGTGCACTGCAGAGATGACCACAGTTATCCTGACCTGCCAGCCTGGTTGTACGGGCTTTGCACGTGGGGGCCGACGCGTATGGTGGTCTCCTGCCCTTAGAGGAGAAACTGACACGCAGGAAGGCATACACCTGCTCCACGGATCACACAGGAGCACTAGGAGCAGCAAAGTACGAGGGAAAAGGAACTCGTGGGCTCTATGGGAGTGTCCCCTTTTGGGAGGCGTGCTGAATTTAAGAGTGACATGTAGCCTGAAGCAGTGGTGTGCTGGTCGAAGTGGAGCCGCCAGCCCAGGGGGCCCTTCCTGAGTGTGCACATTCTCACTACGGTGTACTTTATCCCC